CAGCCCGGGTCGTCTGGTCGCATCGCCACGTGCTCCGGGTCACGCACTTGCCCAGCCCTTACCTCCCTTAGTCCGCATGGTTTTCAGGCTTCAGTGCAGTACTTCCCATTGCCTGAGCCGCGGGTGGCTTTTGGCGTGCCTGAGTATCCCAAAGCAGGGGCCTCACAGTGTGTAGGCTAAATTGGTCTGGTAAGTTGATGGGTAAAGGGGCCTCTTCTCACCGACCTATACCGAACTCCACTACTCTGTCACTAACCAACGAGGGTTCAAAACCTACCAGCCAATGACAGAACGAGGTCACCTTAGTTGTAGTTATATCATTGTATCTACAATAAAGCATTTGGCAGAACAGACTTTTTCTGAGTATAGTAATACTCCTTCCACAGGTACCTCTTCAACTGCGGAGAAGGTGTCCAGCGACTTATGCAGGAACACAAGTGAGTCAACACCTGGCTTCTGGGGTGGAGATGATTATGGGCTTGAAAGCTGAGGTGAGAGGCAGGTTAGACTTCTCAGCAGAAGTGATCTTTGATCAGCCGTGTTTCATCTTGCTGAAATGTATGTTTTTTCTTAGACTGAAAGTCGCTCGCTTGGACAACATATTTCTGACTCGGATGCATTGGTCAAATGTTGGGGGGTTGTGTGGTGAGTATGTTTTGGAGGTCAGAGGCTAGTGGGAAGTCTCTGGGAGTTTGACATGTCTTGCTTAACTTCTTTGCTTAACTTCTGAGCCCAGGGGAGCTAGGATTCCTTGTATACTTGAGTGCAAAGTACAAAAAGCTAGACTCAGAACAGCAGGTCTTGACATGGTGATGGCCTCCAGTGCTGGACCAGACATTTAAAGAGAGAGTAGCGGTGGCAATCAGAGTAAAGGTATTTATCATGAAAACCACCAGCAGCCATATGCAGACACCTACTGTCAAGATTGCCTCGTTATTCCTGGCCATCAGCTGGGAACATCAAGATTGTGATGAAGCCAGATTTTGAAAGCTTAGTGGGGTCACTACAGAAACAAGTGACATAGTAGAGTACACCCCCACCCCCGTTTCATTGCCTCCCTACCTCCCTCCAGTCATCTGTGCCCATTCTAGAGGCACATGGGGCACTTGTCTCTAGTACCTCTGCTAATATTATTTTCTCTTTATGTATTGTATAGTTGCTAATAAGCCAGAATAGAAACACATGGGTAAATAACTGGTTCAGTGAGAAACAAACCCCCTTCCCTTCCCCCCAGGACAGGCAGTGCCTGTATACTGATAGAGCTAATTTTTATTTTTATTTTTTATAATCTTTTTAGGAATGATTCTAACTTTAAAGGAAACTGGGCTTCCCAAATGTGTTCTTTCTGGACCTCCACAACTGGTGAGTCGCCTGTCAAAACCACCTCCTTTTAAAAGTGTTAATGGACAAGAATCTTCATCTTTGTAACCTAACCCTTAGCCCTCAGGGAGTAGTGGAGTAAGCACATCTCCTTTCCTAGTGCAGAAATATCAACTGTGTGGCCCAGGGTGAGCTGCTTTGGCTCCAGCCCCAGCTTCCTAATTAATAAAGTGGCCAGAATGTTCCATAAGGTTGTTACAGAATGAATGAAATTGTACATGGGAGGTACCGCATCATCTTAGATATTTGGGACTGAGGAAGTGCTCCATTAAAGCTTTTATTCTTTTTAAACTTCAGCCATGTAAGTCCGTCTCCAGCAAGTGTCTAAATATGTTTCTCTCCATCTCCTTGAACTTTCACTGTCTGTACCAAAGTAGCCTTACACTATAATTTGCCACTTCACTATAATCCCTCTTCTTCGTAGCAGCCAGAGCAAGATGTACAAGCAGTGTGCCACTTCCCACCTTAGGCTCTCCTGTGTGATAGGATCCACAGTATAGCCTCCAAGTCCCATAGGCCCAGCCCTCTGCTCATGTCTCTACCTGTGATGTGAAGCTGGAGCCACAAAGGCCAACACTGACCCACTATTTTTTGCTTTCTAAAGTTATTTCCTCTGGAGCTGTACCTGTCTCTCCAGACAAATTGGTTTCAATTCCTGTATCTTTTCTCTTTCAGAACACCTGATTGCTACTAAGTTGTTTATGTTATGATTTGTTTCATTTCCATCTCTGTTTCAATGAGAGAGCAAAAACTTCATATCGCTTAATGTTGCTAAAACATCTAATGGCATCTAATGATACTGGACATAATAAATATCTGATAGCTAAAAATTATTTTAAAGTATTTGCGAAGTTTTGTGTTGACATAAAGCGAGTCTATATTCTACTTATTTGAATATATTACTGTGTTCTATGCTTAAAATGTAACTTCTTTCTTGCTTATTTTTTAGGAAAAATATCTAGAAGCAATCAAAATATTTTCTGGTCCTTTGAAAGGAATGAATCTGGGTATGTTGTTGAGTGTGACTTGTTATTTCGTATTTCCTCTTACGTGAGCCCTGCTTTTCAAATTAGAATCCACCAACAACTGGTTTAAAGCAAACTTTAAAATCACATGCTTCATTCAACATTCTATGGTTTTGTTCTTTCTCTTGTTCCTTCTCTAATTTTTTTTTAATGATTTTTTTTGTTTGTTTGTTTTTTTGAGACAGGATTTCTCTGTAGCTTTGGAGCCTGTCCCGGAACTTGCTCTGTAGACCATGCTGGCCTTGAACTCACAGAGATTCGCCTGCCTCTGCCTCCTGAGTGCTGGGATTAAAGGCGTGTGCTGCCACTACCCTGCCTGATTTTTTATTTTTATTTCATGCGAATTGTAAAGCACTGACAGTTTTATTTCAGACTTTATACCAGTTCTCATGGTTGAGATGATAGAGTTCCTGGCTGGTAACCTTGTTAACTCAGGGCTCTTGCGTTTGTACACAATATTGGTTTATCTTTTTCTTACAGGATCCTGTACAATGCTCATAGCATGACTTCCCTTGACTCTGCTCCATATAAATGACTGATGAAAGTACAGCTTCCCTTTTTTTTTGTTTGTTTCTTTTGTTTTTTTTTTGTTTTGTTTTTTTTTTTCTTAAAATATGTTAAAGAAAATCTGGTTTTACTGACATATTCCCAGTAACACTCTAAGGCAAGTCAGTGGCTGTGGATGGGGATCCTGCAGGTTCATTTTCCTGCCATTTACTAAAGACACTTGATTTCTTGACCTGTGTTTTTCCTACAGCTGTACGGCCACACTCTGCACCAGAGTACAAGGATGAGACCATGACTGTTCACCAGGTTCCTATCCACAGTGAGTCTGGGGGCCAGGTTTCCCCAGAGAAAGTGGCTGTGGGTTCTGCCCAAGGGACATGTGTTTGAAGAGAGACAAGACTGGCTTGACTGGCTTGTTTTTTTTCTGAGCATGATTAGAAATTTAAGGTTGGATACGCATGTCGGACCTTAGCCTCTTGTGGACAAACATACTGTACTGTAGTTGGCATGTTTATTTTAGTTTGTTGCAATTAAGTGCCTTTTAAGAGACTTTTTAATAACTGCAACCTAAAAGAGGGGCATTGAGGGCTGAGAAGCTACAGCTGTGCTTGTGCTTGTGAGGTACCATGTTGAAGGATGAGGCTTTGAGTTGGGAGCAGAGATGCTCTGCACATCACTCTGGCTGAACAGCTTGTGCCAGGCTTACCTGCATTTGAAGAGAGTACCTGGTGGTAGGGAGATGCCCTTGATATTGCAAACTGGCATGATCTTGGCAGTTGCAGAGAGACTATTGAGCAGAAGAGAGAACCAACAAATCAGAACTGGGGGTCGGGGGAGGCTGAGGTTTATGCTGACCATGGGTAAAAGATGGGAGGGAAGGGTGTTTTTCTTGTGTGATGACACCAGTACTTAAAGCCAGCAAGGGGATGGCCTAAGGTCTCTCTTTACTTCACTCACTCTAAGCCAGGTGTCTTCTCTTACCTGACTACTACCACCCCTCCCAACCCCAATTGGAAGTGTCTCTCTTTGTTTTCTTTCCAGCACCCTTTTCTTCCCTCCAGAGAGCATGATAGTTTACTGCCATGTCTTTTCCTCTGGTTGACACCTGTGCAATTCTGCTGGCCAGTGTTTCCCTGGAATTCCAGCAGGTCTTGATTGAGTGACATGCCTGGAGGACCAAAGGCATTTTCTGTTAAAACCACAGCTATGGTTCACCTTCTTAAATCAGCAGTCCCCTTGATTTTGATACATAAATGGCTGCAGAATTCTGCCTCTTGGGTTGATGGGCATTCCCGGGATCTGTGCAGGGATAACCGAATGGTGATAACTGAACTAGTCTACAGCCCGGATGCTCTCAGTCAAAAACTGAATCCTTCTATCAGCAAGACCCTGGGCCGGAGAAAGGCCAGCATGCTGGTAGCTGGCTATTTACTACTGCAGAGAAAGGAGTTCTAGTTTGATTGACATTTAGGGAATTCTTGCATGTGAACACCTGGGCTGCAGTTGCGGGGTGCATGTAATGCAATGGCTTCCTCTGCTGCCTTGGTGAACAGAGGTATGACAGGCAACAGCCACCGCAGAGCCCCAAAAGGTCTCCCAACAGGCTCAGTCCAAAACAGTCATCTTCAGACTCTGCATCAACTGATGTGTCAGCTGAAAATGGGGAGCGCAGTCCAGATGGCAGCAGTACAGGTAAACTGTGGGGGCGGGCCTTGTAGTTCTGCATGCCTTGTCCTGTTAAAAGAGTATCTCTAATTGGCAGACAGTAATTGTGTACATTTAGAGTGCAGTGAATTGTATTGATCTACGTAGAAAGAGTCAAGTCAAGCTAGTTAACATGCGTGCCATCTCACCAAGTTTTATGAATAGTGTTTTCTGTGGTCACAGCATAGTGTGCATGGCCTGTTGCCAACTGAAACGTTGTACTCCTTTATCAGCTTCTCCCTGTCCCCACTCTGCCCCCCTCACCCCCTCCTCTGGCCTTTGGCAACCTTCTTTCTCGACTTTTTCTGTGAGGTGGATTTTTTTTTTTTTTTTTTTTTTTTTTTTTTTAAGTTTTTATATGGTGGGGGGGGCATCTGGTGTTTTTTTTTTTTTTTTTTTTTTTTTTTTTTTTTTAAGATTCTACATGTGGGTGAGGTCACATGGTGTGTGTCTTTTCTGTGCCTCTATCCAGTGTTGCAAATGACAGGTCTTTTCCTTTTACTGCTCTAAGTTAGGATCTTCTCTGCAAGATAGCTGTTAGCATAAGTAGATTTTCTCCGTCATGTAAAGCTCTGGAGAGAGGTCAAGAAAGGTTGTACAGAGAGAGAAGGTCCCGAGTGTCAGGCCAGTTTGCAGCTTTGGATAGCTCCAGGATGTGTGTTCATACGGGAGCAGGGCCTAGCAAGCTCTTGGGTGTAGGGGGCTTTTGTTTTTTCATTAATGAAACAATAATGCAGAGACTGGTTGCTATGCTCACACAACAGAGAAGTCAGGAGGGGGTCGGCCCCTATTAGAAGATGGCTACCCAAGACTTGTTCTGTCTGTCTGAGGAGTTGAGTACTCAAGTCTGCTCTTCGATGTTGGGCAGAGATGGGACATTTCTATCTCAGTTCATCTTTTTAGTGACAAAGAAGGCAGACCTTGTCATGCTTCTTTTGTATGACAAGCAGAGAGGAGCAAAGCCCACATACTTCCTTCAGGCCTTTAGTGGTTGTCTCATTTTTCATATTTATGTGCTTGTTTTTAAAATATTACAATGAGGGCTAGCAGGATGGGTTGGTGGGTAAGGCACTTGCTGCCAAGCCTGAAAACCTGAGTTTGATTCCTAAAGCCCACATGGTAGAAGGAGAAAATGAACTTTGGCAGGTTTTCCTCTGACCTCCACATAAGCACAATGTCATCCCCCACACACATACATCCACATAAACCCACCCCTCCCCATAAATAAATAATAATAAATATTACAACTTATTTATCCTGCTCCCAAATATTATGCCAAATGGGACATGTGAAAGTTTTACTTGCCATTATGTGTTTTCTGGTTGGAGTTTCCTTCCTCACCTTCTCTTCCTTCCCCTTCCTCCATTATACTGGAGATGAGCCCAGAGTCTTGGGCCTGTTAAGCAAGCATTCTCTCCCTGGGCTAGTTTTTATTTCCTTATTTTGAAACAGTTGTTGTTACGATAAATCTTTCTGCCATAAGCCGCCTGAGCCCCACCGCCACGTGTGAGCTTTACGCCAGCCGCT